AAATTGAAATTAAATATGTATAAAACCATTATTAGAATTGTGAATATTATCATTTATTTTTTGCCTTCTTTTTTGACTGACCACCCCAACTATTCTTCTCTTCATTATCCACGACAGTCAACCATTTACCAATTATAATTATCATTATTAGAATCTCTTTTTGAAGAATTAGAATTTATATAGGATAATTTTTTTCTATTCAGAAACACAACTAGTAACTTCAAGTGTTCAATTCACACCAATTGCATTTATTTATTTAATTCTTTAGTTATGTATGGCGGGGAAAAAAATATATTTTTATTTGAACTTTTGAGAAATTCAATTATCGGATTTTGTTTTTTTAAATATCTAATTCAATCAGAAAACCAGATTGAATTAGCAATATTGATACAATAGTTTATAATTTCTAATCCAGTTTCTAAATACTTACTTTTCACTGACCTAATAAAAAATAATATGACAGGTAGAGAATTTACAGGATTAACTGGTTCCTAAACTATGGAAGTTGACAAACCGGCAGATTTAACATTTTCTAGGTATAATAAATAAAAAATTAAAACTAATAAAATAAGTAACTTACCTGAACTATTTTCATAGATAAGCATCTTCAAGCCATATTTTATTTGTAAGATTTCTGATAATATTTGTCGCTAAAAATATCTATCTTTTTAGATAGCTTAGATTCCTGGATAAAGTTTAACGAAATAGATAAATATTTAACAAAGAATTCCAAGCAATGTTTTCATTTTATTTTTTTTAATGGATATTTACTACATTAAAATAATTTATTCATTATTCCACTGATAATAAAAGATCGGGTAGGTTTATTCATATCGTTATTTTTCTACTATAATAGGAATTTTTATTTCTTATTAAAAGTTTTTATTCATTATTTATTCAAATAAGTCTCTCATTGTAAATTTTATAATAATCATATAGATTATGGTCAATATTAAGCATATTACGACTTTGTATTTATAAATTTCAGAATCAACCGATTGATTTGTCAGTTACTCAATTCAGTCTCCTTATAATTAGTACGACAAAACATGTTTTTATTTGAATTTTATTATTTTTATTAATAAATTCTTTTTAGGAGGTATGATTTTAGGATTTTTAAAATTTCTGGACTTTTGGATTTTCAGACGGTGTAAATATAAAGTTCTTTCTCAACAATTACTTTATTTTATTCTATTATTTACGGCGGTAAACAAATTAATTTTTTTTCTAGTAATTAATCCAAATTGAATTGCATATGTATTGTAATTATGGAAAATATTAAAGGTAATTTATGAATATCAACAATGAAAACTTTTTCTGTAAATATCTACATTATATGCATTATTTTCTCCCTCATAAATTATTTTTACATTGTACGTTTTTACTTGACATAAATTCTAAAAATAATTCAATTCACTAAGTAATTATTTTTTTATATCTCGATAAATTCACGTTACTTTTAAAAATACTTGCCTTTTAAAATGCTAAATGAAAGAAAATTATTAAAGTATATTTTTTTAAGTATGCCTGTTACATAATGTTTTCAATACGGCACATACATGTGGTTAGTGATCAATAAAAAACCGTTGTACACACAAGGGTGGATTACATCAGAGAAAATCCGCCGCCGTCTTCGCAGCGCCACAATACATATTGTAAACTTCTTCAACCCATAATATATGTAAAATATTAAGAAATACAAAAATAAAATAGATTTTTCAAACGTATTTCTGATGTTAAAAGGTAAATGGAACGCATGAAGTGTTTAAAATTGTCATAAAAATGGATGTTGAGAAAAATCAATTAATTACGTTTATACCCTCATAGTATTATAAATAATATTTTTTGGAAAAATATTCAGTCATGGCTTATAATGTAATTCTTATAAATTAACTACATATACCTGAGATTGAGTAAAAAACATTTTCGTGAGTATTAAAAAAAAAAATAGTACTTTAAGAAAATGATTGCACATTTAACAAACATTCTATGGTATTAATCATTCATTTATCACTTCTAACTAATAAAATTTTAATCCTCGCAATTGTAAGATATTTTTATAAGTAATAAAAATTATCGTATTTTTAAACTCGAAGTTCTAATAAAAAGCATCATCTGAAGCTAAAAGTTGTGTATTTCTAATTATCAGGCCAATAATAACATTAATTGTTCATTGCATGACGACAATTAGAATTTCTTCACAACATTTCATAAATGCCATTGGATTTATAGAATTAGATATTCTGAAATAAATATATTGTAATTTTTATTTTCACAGCTGTATAGTTTAAAGCCATAACTAATTTATTTTTATCTGTACATTTCTTATGAAATTATGAGTTAAATAAATACTTATTTTTACGATTTAGAAAATTCTGCTCGGAAATCCCATTATTTTAACCGCAAATTTTAAAATATATTTTAACAGTATAATATTGTTTGGTTAATACTATGTACCTTAAGCAGAGAGTACTACAATTTAATATATTTATGTAATATAGAACTAAATATTATTCAATAAAACATAAATATAATATGTTCCAATCCTTGATGAATATATTAAAAATAATTTTATATTATCGAAATTCTATTAATTCTTGTCATTATAAATTTTTTTTATAAAAAAAAAAATTAGAAAGATTTTAAGTAAATGGATTCCTGAAATTTTCATAAATATAAATAATTATATGAGATAAATTGAAAAGAATTTAAATAATAGTGAAATATATCGAAGAAATATATGCTTATAGCAATATGACTTTCTAATTAATAATATTTTTGTTTTTATTTAAATCTATGTAAGTAAGCCTGTTAAATTAAATTCAGTCACACACGGCCTGTCATAAGGATTTCCTTTATGATGTAGAAGGCATACTTACCTATATAAATTTAACTGTTCTCATTTGTAAAATTAGGAAGTAGAAAGCATGTGTATGATTTAAAAGATACTATTTTTAATACAATTTTTCTACTGTATTATTGACTTTTGTTAAAAATTGCCATATTCATTGCTACATCCACATATTTTATGATTAATCATGAATTCTTCTAGGCAATATGTATTTTAGAGTTGTTTTTTAATTTAAAATTTATCGAATCTAAATATCGCTACAGCTAGTTCAAAAGATTGTATGTTACATGTTTATTCTTTTTGCGCTAAAGGCGAAATTTTGTAGTCTGCAACTGCTATAAGTAATCTACTAAATAGGAAAATAGCAGAGAGAAATAAAACATGAAATTATACTAATAAATCATAAAGAAATAATGAATTTTAATAATCTTCTGTACGACCTTCTTTAATTTTTACGTACGACCTTTTGCACTAACAGTAGCATATGTTCATTCGGCTCAAAACATTTTAGGTAATTAATATTTATATTAATTTAAAATGGAATAAAGGGTGTTTTTGTTCAACTTGAAGGGACTGTATAACATGACACAAATGACTGTATTTTGATAGTTACCTTTTTGAATTGATATAAAGTCAAATTACCTTATCAATTTAAACAACTTTTGGGCCTTCTCTTGTGAATTATTTATTAACGTTCAAACTGTCCCAAGAGTTTTCTAAGTATGTGAAATCATTTTTATGCACTATATTATTTAACTTTTAACTATAAAAGAATATAGCTTACAAATATGAAATTAATCTAATATAAAGTTTCTGATAGGCTTCATTATTTTTCTATAAATTAAATTTTAAAATAACGGAATAGATTTCAACTGTAACAAAATTAAGACAATAGCGTTTGAAATTTAATATTTTTTTTCAAATTGTTTTATATAATTATTTTTTTCTATCATTTTTTACTATTAATTAAACATTTTAGTTTAGTTATTGCAATTAATTAGTTATTAGTTTTATTTTGTATATTCTCATTATATATTTCTTAAGATTTTTCATTTTATTGTCATGAAATATGTAATTTAAATATGTCAAGTTACTTAACAGATTTAATTTATAAGTATAGATAATTATATAGTTCGAATAAATGTTTGTTGTTTTTTTATTCAACTGTATTGCTATATCATATTGTATCACAACCATCATTTGTTTCCAGTAGCTAACTTGATTTTCAAATTTTATAAAAACTATATAATAATTTTGCGATTTTTAATTAATTACATGTAATGCTTAGCACAATGATCATGTTTTAAATGAGGAATCTCTTTTTAGGGATTATTGAGGAGTGAGAAAATATTAAACGATAACAAATAATAACAAACTTGTACGATTATAGTATAAATATTCTTTTAGTTCAACCTTATTTTTTAAAATATTAATTTTATAAATAAATTAATCGAATGAATTTGGTTTAGAAGCAATAGTCTAAAATAAAATAAAAATATTGTGAATACAATTTGAACTATCATATATATAAAACTCTGTAAAGATATAAATTTAAGTTGCAAAATTAATGAAGTATAAAATATTAGATAATAAGCGTCAGAGGTTTTCTATTTATATGAACAACAGTTGTAGATAAAAAATAAATTCATTCAAGTCTAAACCCGAGGGTAAAATGAAAAGAATGATGGCCGGCGAAGGGCGACAAACTCCCGACAACTTTAAGCAACGAGTTCCCCTACATTGTACTCCGAGTGTATGTATTTCATCTTTTATTTTCTTCTTATTAGATAGGATAATAATAAAAAAATATGTATATTAAATATTTAATTTATAAGCGTACTAAATATTTCACAAATATACATCGTTTCACTAAATTAATCTACAACAACGTCTAAAACTAAATATAAATAAATAGACAAGAGAAATATTTACTGTTTATAATTGTTTTGATTAAAACATAAGTTTGCCAAGGTTCAAACTTATAAATAAATAATGTTCTATTTATTAAATGAAAATTAATTATTCCACAGTTTTACAATTTTTTGATATTTACATTCATAATAATTTAAATATTACATTAATTTTATCATTGACCGCTTTTGTACCATTTATGTTATCATAGTTTATTTTGTTTTTATTATTTTCTAACAAGTAATTTAGATTAGATGGTCAGAGGAGGCCATCGTGAAGTCAGTGGCACAAAAACAGCAAGTCTTTGGATTGTGATTTTGTGTCAATGTCAATTAATGCATTGTAGCGATTTGATGAAAATAAAACTTCATATCCAACTGAATTTTATATGACCAGAAAATTAACGTTCTCAATTTTTTTTCTATTTCTATGAACGAAAATATATTTATTTATTTTTATTATGAAAAAACACTTTTTTTTGTCCGGTCAAATAAAATACGGAATACAAAGTTTTAAAGAAAATGCTACAAACTTGCCATATTGACTAAGGTATTTTTACTGGAATAAAGTTCCTCGGGTCTCCAACTTTGGGCGAGAAATTTATGGAAACCTTTCTCTCATCCAAGCCAACGTCCAGGAAGGAGTTCCAGTCCAGCATGAAGTAGAAGCCGTTAGGTCGCTTGGTAGAAACCTCCATTGGAGCCTCCCCGCCGAAGGAGTCCGCCAAGTCGTCGAGGGAAGGCGACCTCTCAGTGGCGTCCGAGGACGCAGCCACGACGTCCGTCGCAGAAGCAGAGGGTCCACTACTGTCCTCGGAGGGTACGGGCTCTGCGGTCACTGGGCTGTCCGTAGCATCGCCACCCGTGCTCGTCTCTGTCTCAGCGCCATCATCGGAGGAAGAACTCGAGGATGTGGCCGCCGAATCGGATGTACCAGCTTCATTCGGCTGTTGTCTCTTAACCTCGTTCTTAACCACACCAATGTTCTGATACTCTTCTCCAGGTAGAATGCCTGGATCTGTGTCTAGCAGTGTCTTATTGGATTCGTCTCCTCCTTCAAGTTGAACGAGTTCCTTCAGCTCAGTCTGGGTCAGATTCTGGTTATTACCTTCCGAGATCTCTCTTAGCTTCTTAAGAATCTTGTTTATTTTAATCATGTGCTCAGTCTGATTCAGCCTTGATGATTCCAGCTGAGGGTTGAATATGTGCATCTTCTTATCCTGCCTTCCTAAAAGACCAATATTTCTCAAGATATCTTTCATGTCGTCCGTAAGCATTTCTTCATTTACAAAGGAATCTTCCTGTTTCGGTGGATCCCTCATGGCTTTCTTCTGTCGGCTAGGTGGTTCCAGTAAACCGAACGATTTCAAAAAGGACTTCATGTCGTCGCTGACATCGGTACCCGTCGGAAGGGGTTTGAATCTCGAATAAGAACTGACATCGACACTTGGTGCCATTGCCTTCAAATGGAATATAGATTTTTCTGTTGTCTTGTCACCAATTAGGCCGATATTATTGAGGACGTTCTTGAGATCCGGAGTGAGAGCTTCAGCAGTGTTTGCGACGTCTTTTGGAACAGGCGGTGCTGTTCCTCTAGTGGTCGGTCCTGGAGTCACGAAGATGTGATCGGGTTCCGCTTCTGGGGACACCGATATATCATACAAGGCCTCTTTGTATGGCTTAGGTAGCACTAAATCATCTGTGTACGGTTTGGATTTGAACGGTTCCGAATTCGAAGAGGAAGGTATACTGTTTGAGAAATAAGATGGAGTTGTGGACGCAGTAGCCGCGGTGTCGATTCCTGAAGTGGAGGAAGATTCGCCTTCCGAGGAAGTAGAGTGGACGTAGACTGGCCTAGGCCTCGTAGGCTTCCTCTTCCTCTTGGGCCTCTTGGTGGTGACGGACTCGCCGATCAGTTTGGTAATAGGAGCTTTGGTGAAGAGGTCCTCCAGGTGGCTCTCTGTTCCGTTGTAGGGCAGCACGACGAGGAGCGACTTGTCCTTCCTAGAGTCTGACACATTGCGGACCTCCTCGATCAGGGATATTATCTCGCCTCTGGTGAGGCGCGGCAACTTGGGGTCCTTCGCCAGGAGTGACTCCACCTGCTTCACGGTCTCCCCCGTCAGGTCGACCAGGTTCTCAGAGTCGGCGGCGAAGCTCCACCCCTGCCACAGCAGCACGCACAGTATTAGTCTCTGTAACATTTGAAATTACAATATAATTAGTTCGCAAGTAATTATTTATGAATATATAACAAAAAAAAAAGTAATTTTTAATGTTCTTGGATATAACCTCACTTCTAAATATAATAGAATCTAGACATTTTTGAATATGCGGATAAATATCACTTGTATAAGTGGTGTACGTAACATGAGTTCTAAGAAATTAGAGGCAGATACTGAATGAGTTTGTGATATATTGAAAAAATAATTTAATTGGATGCATGGATAAAAATTTTAAATATTAATAATGAAAATATTTATTTATTTTATTAGGAACAAAATATATGTGATAAATTGTATATCATGAAGAAAAAAGTTGTAAATCACACGTTATCAATTGTTCAATACAGTGTTTCAAAATATGATGTCCAAATACACTTTTCATAAAAACTGTTATTTCATTGAAGGAAATATAAATAACTAATAGGTGTTATATGGCATCTCAGGAAGTATTACAATTATTTTAAAAGGATAAGCGAGCTCTTACATCTCAATTAATAACATTAAGTAAATAAACTCTCTTTTGTGACGATCAATCTTCTTGCCGAAAAATTAATCAATACAAGATTGTATTATTTTATTTTGGTTTTAAATTTTAAAATAAAATATTAAAAAAATATCGGATGCAAATGTTCCAACGTGTGTTCATAGTATTTTTGATTAGATGTGATTTTAATGAAAAAAACATCTTATGGGGTAATACCAGTTGTGACTCATTTTATGGAAAGTTAAGGGTTAAGTTCTCAAATTAACCGCTAGTTTCTATTTGTTAGTACCAAATTGAATCGCTACAATTCCATAAAAAATCAATTGTAAAAAAATTAAAATTCAGCGTTGAGCCAGCCACTCATTTAATTATCGCTTATTAAAAAGCAATATATTCTTAAATATATATTGTTCTATTTTTTCTGGTTATATATGTTATAAATATTTTTAAGTGGTTAGAAGTTAAAAGTTGCACAAGCAATTTTTGTTATTATTATTTATAGCGGTATGGGCATCAAGTAATAAAAACAGACGTACTGTTTTCACTGTCATATTTATATTTTAAAATAAATTAAATAAAAAATTACAACTTGTAAGAATGTTTGTGTATAAACATGGATGGATAGGAAATTTTTGTATAAATACATTTGTAGTATATGAGAAGTCCAGAAAGAATTTTTTTCCTCTCACTTTCATTCTAAAATAAGATGTCAAAAGTGGTTTCACCCATTATGGACTTAGGCCAATTTCACTCCAAATTCCTCTCGACTACTTTTAGATTCGAATTTTACCATTATAAAATTCCAACTAGTAGATCTAACAGCTATTAAATCTAGTAAGAGCTAGAACAAGACTGGTAGAAGAACAAGACATTTAGCAGGCGAAAGAAAATAGAAAGCTGAAAGTGGAAGCAGATATTTGAGAAACGCATTCAGAGATATCAAGACTTACCAGACATGTTATGCAATATTTACTAAAAATAGTCAAGCAGTTACAACATTCATATGAAAATAGAATCTGGTTTATTTAAATTAAAATTAATTATACTTGATTGATTACATGTTTAATTCTTTCAAATACTTTCGGTATTCAAACTTTAACAGTGACGAAATATACATACTTATTGAAAACCTTAATGTCTTCTAAACCACAGACCTCAAATAGCCTTTCAAACGAAACTATTAAACAATAATTTAGAATATACATAAAGCTGGTATGAAAGACTTATTAAAATAAGATATCCTACTTTGCTGTGGATGAGATGTGACTTTGTAAACTTTCACTTTTTTTTCTTTATATGCAAAATATGCTGATCATGAACCGTGAAGATTACATAACCATGCATATGTTGTGAGCTTCAATCTTTTGTACTTAAAATGCGTGAATAAACTTCAATCGCCTTTTGAATGGAGTTATTATTTTACAGATTAGTACATTAGTCAAACACTTTTCAGACTAATTCTTCTCTGATTATACGGGATCATAAAAGAAATTACATACAATCATTTTCGCACGAAATATATTGAGGCTTTTCGACCTCAAGTTAGAAAGTTTTTTGTTTTGTTTTTTATCGACTGGAATTCATAAATATATTTTTGTAGACCAACATCAACTTTAATTATACAATTATGAAATATGAAAAGGATAAAAATAATTCCATCATCAATAATTTTAAACGATAAAGTGGATCTCAAGTTTCAGAATGGCGGGAGCACATACTGAATTAAAATATCTAATAATTTACACATAATGTATTAATTAAAAAAATAATCAAAATTTAAGGAAGTATTTTTATCACATATAAAGAGGCTAATGGTCATATTATAAACAGTTTATACTTTGATTTCTTAACATAATAAAAAACGTCAATGTAGTTAATATTTTACACAGTACACAGTTTATATATTGTGTATGATTAGAATTTTTTAAACTAAAACTACTTTTTTTATTACGAATAAAAAAGTAAAATTAGGTATTGTCAAATAATTAAAAGTATTTGAAAAGAATTGTACGTATATTATCAGATAAAGAGTGAGAATGTTTTACTGAAAGAAATACAATAGAGACCATTTTTAGTGTTAATATTTAACGAAAAACACATTTTATTATTTAAAACAATGTATTTTTTTTTATTTTAAACCGGGAGGAAACACAAAGTTGATATAGTGTTGTGGGAAGGGTAATGGTAGCTTTATATATCGTAAAATATAGCATTTTTTTCCCCTAACCACCAAAAAGTTTATTTCAAAATACAGATTTTTGTTTTCTTACCCTCCAAAATGTTTATTGAAACAATTTACATATATAGTATACATAATAATACAATATATACATGTAACAAATTCCTTCCCCTGCCCGAGGGAATTTTAAGGATTGGGGACAGCTAAGGGTAACATATGTGGCAGAAGGCCTTGTGACTTTCAATCAAAATATAGAACTAAAAAGTAAGTAATTATAAGCATTTGATTACAGCAAAGAGTAACGGCTATGAAAAACGAAAATATAAGAACTATTTTTGCCACAATTAAATTTCGATAAAGGTTTACTTTTGATTTTTTGATCAATCAAAAGAAATTACAATGGCTGCACATGAGAATTTTACACCTCAATGAAATTGGCATGTTTACCGATCTCCAGATTGAAAATTTCTATTTCCATTTCCATTTTCCAGAATTTTCGATAAATGCCATTCACGAGGTTTTAGACTAATGTTAATGATTAAAAAAAAAAAGGTGTGTGCTTTAGACCAAACGATAGAAGAGAAAACATCAACAAGGCGAGATTAATAATTAATAATATATGAAACAATTATAAATAATAGCTAATTACAAAAAAGATGAAATTCTGAAAATTTCTCTCGCTTACAGTATACAGGTCGGATTTTTAGTTTCTGAGATATTTTAATCCACATCTTCAATAAAACCCATTATCATTTGATTTTCGTCACTATTTTTCCTTTTCAATTCCCTAAAACTGCGTCGCGTTAACATACAAAAAACACTTCAGTTAGAAGACTCAAGCCGACTTTACCCGAGCGTTACACATCGCAGAGATGACGGCTCAATCTAATTCACTCTCCATAAAAAAAAGTGCACACCGCGCCTAAAGAAGTTCGCTTCACTTCACTTCAAAAATAAAAATTTAACGGTTTAACTTCTTTTTTTTCAACTGATGCCAGTTTCAACAACAGATATTTTCTTTTCTTCCTTAACACTTATCCAAATGATTCCTTGTGTATTCTAAGTGCTTTCTTTATCCAACAATGGGAGGGGCGGTATGGCCGATCAGACTTATGGGTTTGAAAAACACGCTTTGTCTAGCAACCTGATAAACAGAAGATTTTGAGTTCATATCCCGTTTTTGGAGGGTTTAACTCTGGCAATAATCCCTCGCTCTTACCCCAGACCAGGGAAAAACCCGTAGAGCCAAAAGACAGGAGGGAAAAAGTCATTAAAAAAAATCTAACAATACTCTGACTGAAGTATATTCATTTTGATTTTAGAAATGCTCATTTTCATGTTAAATGATGTTGATATTATGGTTTCTTATTATTAATGAGTTGATGACCGTGATTTTTGTTATTTTCCAACTTTATTAAAAATAGCATGTACAACGTTTGTTTTTTTAAAAATTTAGTTAAACAAGTTATATTCACTGCTATAAGACAATACCATTAAGTGATCAATATCGAGTCGGAATTTCGTGACTTCTTTTAAGAAAAGTTTTAGCGATATGCACAATTAAATTTGCACTATTCACAATAGTGTAGTTTTATAGCAGAAATTTTAACGAAATAATACTAGTTGGATGAACCATGGATCATTTTGGTGCACATTCATTGATTAAGTGTGCAACTTCCAACGGTTGCATAATTGGGGACCGAACTCTCGACATTTAGGTGATGATGACCAGGATCGAAGTAACGGGGTTCCACTTAGCGTGGTCAATGCCTCCTCAACATAATGTCATGTTTCCGGGCACACCCTGCTTTCTCCATCCGGTTCTCCAGCTAACTCATTCCTTCCTCAGTGCTCAGCTCCTCAAACTTATTGAGGTGAAAGGGGGAAGCTCAGTGATTTCTAAGTGAAGGGCGGTAAAAGGATATGCAGTTATCTTTTAATATAGCATTGGCTGCCATGGTGTTTATCATTTAACAATGGGAGGGGTGGTATGGCCGAGCAGAATTATGCGTGTGCAAAACACGCTTTGCCCAGCAACCTCATAAACAGAAGATTTTAAGTTCAAATTCCGTTCTCGGGGAGTTTAACTTAATTTTATATTCATTTTGATTTTAGAAATGCTCATTTTCATGTTAAATAGTGTTGATATTATGATTTGTTATTATTAATGAGTTAATGAGCATGATTTTTGCCATTAAACTCCAACTTTATTAAAATTGCATGAACAATTATTTTTTTTTAGTTTGCTAAACCAAATTACATTCATTTCTTTTAGATAATACTATTAAGTTGGTGGAATCATACAAATTTAATGGT